TGAGATACAGAGGGAAAGCAAGTCGCCAGGTCCGGGGCTCAAACCAGTGTCAGCCATGTGGGAGTCTAGCACCATTAACCACCACGCCACCTGCCGGCCCCTTTACTTGTGATTTTATTATACTTTTAGCCAAAGTGTCTAAGGAAACAAATCTCATTTTCTTTCTTTTTTCTAGGTTTCTGCCATAGGGTGTGTGCACTCACCCAGAGATAGAGACAGAGAGGGAGAAAGTGAGAAATCACCCTCTGGGTGGATAGCCGCCCTGCAATCGCTTCTCTTCCACTCTCCTCCTAGGATTCTGGCCATGCATGCACACGTGCCTGGCACGATTTTCAAGTCACTAGGTCTTGGACTCGAACTGTAGTCACCATGTGAGAGTCCAGTGCTTAACCACTACGCCATCTGCTGGTCCCAAGAAGCTCATTTTCTTTCTCTTTTTTTTGGGAGAGGTTTTTGCTATAGGGCATGTGCACTCGCCAGAAAGACAGAGAGACAGAAAGCGAGAAATCACCCCCCCAGAGGGAATGGCCACACCGCAATCCCTTCTCCTCCATTCTCCTCTTAGGATCTTGGGCGCACACACCCCCAGCATGAGTTTAAGCTACCGGGTCCGAGACTTGAACCGTGGTCAACTACATGGATGTCTGGTGACATAGCCATTATGCCAACTGTTGGTCCCAAGAAGCTTAAGTTCAAATGAGTACCAACAGGCAAACTGCATTAGATATCGAAAAGATGGGTATAAATACTTTTTTTTTAAAAAAAGTATTAAATTAGATTTGTTATTTATTTATTTATTTTAAATTTGACCAGAGAGAGACAGAGAGTTAGAAAGAGGGAAAGCGAGAAAGAAAGCCGCCAAGTCTAGGACTTGAACCGTGGTCAACCATGTTAGAGTCCAGCACCTTAACTACCACGCCACCTGCCAGCCCCAAGACTTTTTTTTTAAGTTTTTGTTATAGGGTATGTATGTTCATCAGAGAGACAGAAAGAGGAAAACAGTGAGAGAGAAAGTGAGACATCATCCTCTGGGGGGATGGCCATGCTGCAATCCCTTCTCCTCCATTCTCTTCCTAAGATTTTCGGCATGCTTGCACACGCACCTGGCGTGATTTTCAAGCCGCTCGGTCCGGGACTCAAACTGCAGTTGGCCGTGTGGGAGTCCAGTGATGTAACCACTACACCACCCGCTGGCCCCATAAAGACTGTTTCAAGCACAACTCTGAGCCAGCCCCCGGCCTAGTGGTTAAGGGAGCCAGATGGGTGACCACAGCTTACTGCGAGGAGCTTTCTCCTTCTTCCTCTCTGACAAAAATTTACAACTTAAAAAAAAAAAAAGCAAACACTCTATGAAGTGAGTCCTAACTGTAGTTGTACTTGCCAAGTTTTCTGAGGCGAACATTTTCTTTCAAAGTACTGGGGTCACTGGGACCAGCAGTTAGCGCAATGGCTATGTTGCTGGACTCCCACGTAGTCAACCATGGTTCGCGTCCCGGACCCGGTGGCTTAAAACTCATGCTGGGCGCGTGTGCATGTGTGCCCAAGATCCCGAGGGGAGAATGGAGGAGAAGGGATTGTGGTGTGACCATCCCCCCTGGGGGTTGATTTCTTGCTTTCTGTCTCTCTGTCTCTCTCTGTCTGTCTGGCGAGCGCACTCGCCCTATAGCGAAAAAAAAAAAAAAAAACACCAAAAAATAAAAAACAAAAACCCTGTCCAAAGTACTGGGGTCACAATGACTGTAGTAATGGAGCAGAGGCCCAGTTTATCAGAATTTACAGATCACACGTCAATCGGACGATGGAGGTAAGAGCAGGGGAGATTTCTTGTTTCAAAATGTCTGAAGATGGGGGCCAGATGGGGGCACAGTGTTCACGCAACTGAGCCAACCTGCGGAGGGTCCTGGGTTCCCGTCCTGGGATCCCCCTGAGCTTCCGGATGGGGAGCATGCACAGCGCGCCTGTGACAGGGGCCGGCTGAGAAGACCCTATTGGGGGGTGCCTGTCTCTCTCTCTCATGGAAGAAATAAGTTTAAAAAATTAAAAAAAAAAAGGGGGGGGGGGGGCCAGCAGGTGACGTAGTGGTTAAGGGGCTGGACATTCCCATGTGACTGACCATGGTTCAAATCCTGGACCTGGTGGCTTGCTTTCTCACTTTCCCTCTCTCTCTGTGTCTCTCTCTGGTCAAATGAAAATAAATAAATGAATAAATGAAATAAAATAAAATAATTATTTAAAAAAAAATTAAATGTTTGAAGACAAATCCCTCCTGAGGAGTAACTTAATAGGACACCTGGATCCTGTCAAGGCACTGCTGAGGCCTGAGAAAGCAAAACCCGCCCATTAAACTCTGCTTCCGCCGCTCAGTGTCTGGGGGGGCAGGAGCTGCACACACCTGCTGCTGGGCTGGGGGGCGACGGTGCCGTTCTGCTCCGGGGTCTCAGCCGGCTTGGGTTTGAAGTAATTGACGAGCCCCCCAAACACGCTCTTAATGCTGTTGATGTGCTTCTGGCTGGTCTTCAGGTCTTGGTCCATCCTGTCCACCATCCTCTCGGTGCGTTCTAAGACTCCGCGCTGACGGACGAGTTCCTGGGGAAAACAAGAGGCGGCAGTGTTCTCGCCCTGGTCCTCCTGTGGCTGGCAGAGACCCCATGCGGCGCGCACCTCCTCAGCCCCCAGTGAGCACACGCGGGAGGGTCACTGGCACCTGTGAGGCGTGCTAGCCATGCATTCATTCATTTATTTTCAGAGAGGTTTTTGCTGTAGGGCGCGTGCGCTCGCCAAACAGACAGAGAGAGACAGAGAGACAGAAAGCGAGAAATCACCCCCCAGGGGGGATGGTCACGCCGCAACCCCTTCTCCTCCATTCTCCTCTCGGGATCTTGTGCACGCACGCAACGCGCCCGGCGTGAGTTTAAGCCACCAGGTCCGGGACTTGAACTGCAGTCGACTACATGGGAGTCCAGTGCATAACCATTATGCTAAACTGCTGGTCCCAGGCATGCTAGACTTTTTTTTTTTTTTTTTTTTTGGAGAGATTTTCACTGTAGGGCGCGTGCGCTCGCCAGACAGACAGAGAGAGACAGAGAGACAGAAAGCGAGAAATCACCCCCCAGGGGGGATGGTCACGCCGCAATCCCTTCTCCTCCATTCTCCTCTCGGGATCTTGGGCACGCACGCACACGCACCCGGCGTGAGTTTTAAGCCACCGGGTCCGGGACACGAACCGTGGTTGACTACGTGGGAGTTCAGCGACATAGCCATTATGCTAACTGCTGGTTCCCCAGGCATGCTAGACTTTTGACGTGTTCCTTTGTCTCTCCCTCTCACCCTGCTTGCTTTTCTTTCTGTTCTATGCTTGCCAGAGACAGAGACAGAGAGAGACAAAGACGGAGAGAGGGACGGGGAGGGAGGAAGGGAGAGAAAGCACCTCCTCCAAAGTGGTGTGACCATCCTTTTTCTCCATCACTCCTCCCTATCAGGATCTTGGGCACAGACACATCTGGAATTCATTCATCCATTCATTCATTCACTGGGTCACAGAGTGCATGCGCTTGCTGGAGAGAGAGTGAGAGAGAGAAAACACCCCCCAGGGGGGACAGCCATGTCTTGTTGGGACTTGGGCACACACGGACATGCACCTGGCATGTCCCTCAAGTTGCTGGGTCTTAGATTGAACCGTGGAGTCAGCCATGTTGGATCCAGTGCCAAAATCACCATGCCACCTTTGGCCATTTTTTAAAAAAAGAAGTATTTATTTAACTTTATTTATTTACTTTAATTTGGCCAGAGAGGGATAGAGTGAAAGAGCGAGAGTGAGAAAGCAAACCACCGGGTCTGGGACTCGAACCATGGCCATGTGGGAGTCCAGTGCCCTTAACCACCTACTACTCGCCCTGGCTGTTTTGCTGTTTGCTTGTTTGTTTTTTCAAATTTGCTACAGGGCATGTGTGCTCACTAGAGAGATAGTGAGAGAAAGAGAAAAAGCGAGAAAGCACCTTCCCCCAGAGGAGATGACCGTATCATAATCCCTTTTCTACTCTCCTCTCGGGATTTTGGGCACTCACAAACATACTAGTGTGATTTTCAAGGGACCGGGCCAGGGACTTGAACCACATGGTCAGCCATATGGGATGCAGCGGCCTTCGCCAAGCACCTGCATGTTTTTCAGGTTAGAGCCAAGATTTGAACTGTGGTTAACCAAACGGGATTTGACTGCCAACACACAGCTGAACCACTGCACTATGGGACTAGCCCTCCTCTTCTTTTTAATAATTTAGTTAGTTTGTTTATTTCAGCAGATAAGAAGTTAGGAAGGAGCACCCAGCTAACCCCTGCTCAGAGCAGGCCATGGCAGGCTCTGGGAAGGAATAGCAGATATGGAACAGCATTCTGGGCCTGCTGGCTGCTGTTCTCCGAGTGAGCACTACTTCCGGATGAGCAAGAAAGCAGTAAACTGCAACTAGCGAGACCCTCACGGTCTGTGCCAGGGTGGCCAACGCTACGAGCACGTGACCAGTGACAGGCTGATGGACGGCAAAGCCAGGTTTGGGGAGTGCCGGGGTTGACTGGCAGTGACCTGTTGCTCATCCAGGCAAACTTAAGGGACACACACAGCCTGCACCCTGACAGCAGGACAGGAAGTGAAAGCCCACAACGACAATAACGTGGGACCAGCAGCTGGCGTAATGGCTACGTTGCTGGACTCCCACGTAGTCAACTGCAGTTAGCGTTCCTGGTGGCTTAAACTCACGCCAGGCGCGTATGCGTGCGTGCCCAAGATCCCGAGAGGAGAATGGAGGAGAAGGGATTGCGGTGTGGCCATCCCCTCTGGGGGGTGATTTCTTACTTTCTGTGTCTCTGTCTCTCTCTGTCTGTCTGGCGAGCACATGTGCCCTATAGCAAAAAAAAAACCATGGTGCGTGTAGAAAAAAAAAAACCTCTTAAAACAAAAAAGACAATAACACACACACACACACACACACACACGGCAGCCCCCAATGCCCTGGAGGCCCAAAGTGCATGCAGGGTGGAGAAGCAGGAGTGTGGCAAAGCTCCCAGAACTGGAAGGCAACCACATGGAACCTGCAAACGCTGGCCACCTTTTTCCGTCTCCTCTGCCTGCACTTCCGCTGACCAGGACACGGGCAGCCCGTGACCACTGACAAATGCAGGGGATAATTTAGTTTTGTGACAGGGTCTCCTGCCTTGGCTGCCCTGTGGGAACTACAGGCAGGCTTCACCTCACCCAGCTCTATTTTGTTTTATTTATTTAAAAGAATTATTTTATCTAATTATACTCATTGTCATTATTTTATTTTATTCTTTTGAAGTTGACCAGAGAGAGGCAGAGAGAGAGAAGGAAAGTGAGAAAGCAAGCTGCCAGGTCTGGGACTTGAACCACGGTCAGCCATGTGGGAGTCTAGCCGCTTTAACCACCACGCCACCTGCCGGGCCCATGTTTAGACAAGGTCTTACTAGATTGCCCAGGCCAGCCTCAAGCTCATGATCCTCTGGACCTGATTGCCAGAGTCCCTGAAATCACAGGTGTAGCCACTGCACTCGGCTCTCAGGTTGGGGCTGGAATCGAACCTGGGTCTCCCATGTGGTCCCAGCCAGCAGAGCACAGGGTCCTGGCAGCACACACATGTGCTGGGTCTCTACTTCATTTCCCTCTTTACTCTCAAGCTCTTTTTCCTGAAACGTGGGCTCACAGGACTACCTTAAAATGGATGGGGCCAACAGGTGGCGTGGTGGTTAAGGTGCCGGACTCCCACATGGCTGACTGCAGTTTGAGTCCTGGACCTAGTGGCTTGCTTTCTCATTTTCCTGTTCTTTCTCTCTCATCTCTCTGGTGATGTGCCCTATAACAAATTAACAAAATAATAACAGGGGCTGGCAGGTGGTGTGCCGGACTCCCACATGGCCGACTGTGGTTCCAGTCCGTGATCTGGCAGCTTGCCTTTTCACTTTCCCTTTCTCTCTCTCTGGTCAAATTAAAAAAAAATAATAATAATGGGGTTGGCAAGTGGTGTGGTAGTTAAGGGTGCTGGACACCCACATGGCCACCTACGGTTTGAGTCCTGGACCTGGTGGCTTGCTTTCTCACTTTTCCTCTCTCTCACTCTTGTTCTAATTCTGTCCTTCTCTGGTTAAATTAAAAATAGATAAATAAATAAAGTTAAATAAAATAATTCTTAAAAAAAAAAATAGTGAGACCAGCATAATGGCTATGTTGCTGGAATTCCATGTAGTCGACGGAGGTTCAAGTCCCAGACCTGGTGGTTTAAACTCATACTGGGCGCGTGTGCGTGCATGCCCAAGATCCCGAGAGGAGAATGGAGGAGAAGGGATTGCGGCGTGGCCATCTCCCCTGGGGGGTGATTTCTCGCTTTCTGGCTCTCTGTCTCTCTCTTTCTTTCTGACGAGTGCACATGCCCTATAACAAAAAATACTTCTCAAAAAAAAAGACAACAAATAATAATAGCAACGAATTAAATAAAATAGCGCTTAAAAAAAGAAATCATAAAAAATGAAAGAAAATTAATAAGTAATAACAAAAAAAGATGGATGGGAACGTGTCTCTGGGGATTAGGGTCCAGGACCTACAGCAGCAGCAGATGCTCCCCAGTTCCCCAGCCCTGTAACCCTTACAGGATTGGACTTGCCCTGCCCTGTGGACTCTGGTTCTAGTAATCTTGTTCAGGTCTGGGAGTCCCCACTGGGCCATCGAGCCTCTCAGCCCATGACATCCCATGGACTACTGTGCTCTACGGGCCTTGTTAGTTTCTGGTTCCAGCCCACTCAGCCCCAGAGGTGGGCCCTGGGGCGGGGCTGGCCCGCAGCGCAGCAGGCAAGCGCTGTGCAGAGGAAGCCAGGTCCCGCGTGGCCAAGTGGGCTCAAGCCCTGTTCCTGTCGGCTTCCTGCGAGGCGAGCATACATGCCCAGGATCCTGGCGGGATGGAGAACTGGTGGAAAAAGGGTTGTGGTGACCAGGCCCTACTGTGAGTTGCATTCTTTCTCTCTCTCTCCTGCACACACATGCGCTCTATAGCATAAAAACAAACAAAAACCCCTGTATCGGGCCAGTTGGTGGTGTGGTGGTTAAAGGCTTAAAGTGGCTGTGCCCCAAACGGCTGGCTGTGTGGTTGGAGTCCTGGACCCACCAGCTTGAAAAACACAACAGGTGAATGTGCATGCATGACCAAAATCCCAGGAGGAGAATTAAGGAAAAGGGATTGGGGTATGGCCATCCACTCTGAGGGTGATTTCTCGCACTCTCTGTCTCTCCAGTGAACGCATGCGCCCTACAGCAAAAAACAAACAAACAAACACTCTACATAAACCCAACCAACCAAACAAAACACACAGGGTTTTTTAAGTAAATAGAAAAATGTTTTCTAGCCCGTGCCCTTCAAATATTAAGGAGACCTTCAGAAGAAGGAAAAAAAGAACTGATTATTTATCTGGTGTTTCTCCTCCTTTAGATACTTCACGTTTACTGCCTTCATAGCCATATTGAACTAAAAATTTTTTTTTAAAGAATTATTTTATTTTAAACTTTATTTATTAATTTGTTTATTTCAATTTGACTAGAGAGGGACAGAGGGAGAGAGAGAGAAAGCAAGCCGCCAGGTCCAGGACTCGAACCATGGTCAGCCATGTGGGAATCCAGCACCTTTAGCCACCATGCCACCTGCCTGTCCCTGAAGTAAGATTTTTTTTTTTTAAGAATCAATTATTTCATTTATCATTATTAGTTTTTAAAGTTTACTCTTGTAATCAGAGAAAAACAGAGAGAGAGAGGGAAAGTGAGAAAGCAAGTCACCAGGTTGAGGATGGAAACTGTGGTCGGCCATGGAGGGGTCCAGTACCCTAACCACCCTGCTGGCCTCTGAAGTGAGTTTTTACTAGAACAAGGCAACGCTACAAATTAGAACGAAATGATTTTCTCTAGTATACATGTGTGATAAGTGGATAGATTCATTTTTTGAAGTTTATTTCTTTCTATAATCCATGAGAGAGACAAAGAGTGAGAGATGCCGCCCCCCTCCTCCCCCCTGCAAAGGGTCTTAGAGATGATCCACCCCCAGCCATAGCCAGCCAGGACCATGGGGACAGGGCTGCCCCTGGCATGTACAGGGAGCTCTCAGGACACAAATTGGGGGCCTCCCCATGCGCCCTCAGCATCACAGTTACTCTGTGGGACTCTGCACCCCTGTGGCCAGCTGAACTGGCAGATTTTTAAAGAGAGATTTCTCCTATAGGGTGCGTTCGCTCTCGAGAGAGACAGACAGTGAGATCACCCCCCCCCCCCGGGGGGGGGGGGG